AACGCTTCGTCTTCTCCGAACTCCTGGAAATACCTGAATACTATTTCCCTGAGAATACAAGTAGTTTTGAAATATATCAACATAAAGCTAATGAGTTCATAAGCGTTTAGTTGTGGTGAAAGAAATATTTCTTTACTCCTTTGAAAAGTGTTTCCCAAGAAAATTCTATATTTTCTTATGAAAGATGTTCGATTATCCATTCGTTACTTGTTTAACAGCCTGTTTATGTAAGGTTGAGTTATCCCAGGAAAATTCTATATTTTCCTTAAAAGTTGATAGTTGGTTATCTGTTCTGGAATGAGGTGTACAAATATATACGATACTTGTATCGTTAGATGTAGTTTCCTTGAAAAAATCTATTTGCTCTCAGTGAGATGAGATGTATTAGTCTTATTACATAAATAAAACAAATAAATAAGTAGCGAACTAGATCCTAAGATTATTACTAATACCCTCTAGTAATCAAATCGGTTATTACTTTGAGGTTATTTCACTTGTTTCATTATTACAAAAGTAAATTTTTGCTACCTAAGTTGTGAGTGTCATAACCGTACTTAGACTGGATAAGGCACATAATGTGGCCAGTATCTTTTTATGACTTTGTCACCCCTGAACCTAACGGTCCCGCTGTAGCTAGCAGCGAAGATGCGGGATAGTCAGTCCCATATAGATCTATACACAATAGTCACACTCTCCATACAAGAGATTCTGATTACAAGTGTAGTCCTACACTCACGTATTCTGGTGGAGTGTTACCAAGGATGTGTCTCAAAACATAACCTAACAAATTTACAAGTAATAATACTGAAATCATGTTTATCTTTTGTATGAATCCTTTGCAAAATATCACATTTGATGAAAAAATTCACAAGTTCTTTGCTTTAGTTTTGAAACTATTTCTACGAGTTGATTTCTTAATCCTTTGATAAAACTGTTTTCTGTGTTAAAAGGCATACTGAACATATAATAATTTTAAACAAAATAATATACTTGAGCACAAGTTTCCTTGTACTTTTACATGTATTCCCCCCCTGAAAAAATGAAAAACTCAGAAAAAGTGTAGGGGTATGAACTCACCTGTAGTGAGCGGATTTGATGGAAGTGCCAAGCAGGAAGCTAGGTGTTAAGTGAGGACTTGAGCACACACCCGGATCCTATGTAACATGTAGTTATACATAATTGTATCCAATTACTTATTTAATCACTTAATTTAGTATGTAAAGACACTCTAATGCATGAAAACACTTTGCTTCAAGTGCTAAGAGTGGTAAAGATTGTATCTTTGGAGAATATGGCTTCACATTGGAGTTTACTCTTCAAATGATTGTCCTAAGGGCTGTTTGCAGTTGAGAGATCATTTCCCCCATGAGTTTACGGCAGTAAACTCATGGGAATGGTGTTTTAGATGTTTCAAGGCTTCATGCTTCACAAGGAAGTGCTTCTAGAGTTGAATCAAAGGCTTAGGGAGTGGTTAGGGCTCAAAAATGGCACCCATATGGAGTTTACTGTCTTTGGACCACTCCATGGGAGTTTACGGTCGTAAACCCTTGGGTTGACGGCCATAAACTCTTGTCCACATAATTCGTTTCATGTTTTGTTGTTCTTAGGTCATGCATGTAAGTTTCTAGCCTCTTGTCTAAGTATTTGGGGTGTTAGGCGCATCAAAAACACTCTTTGGGGGTGTTTACGTTTTTGGGAGATCCCCAAACCGTAAACTTATGTTCATGGTGGCTTTTGGTGTTTTTCAAGTGCTAAACTCATAAGGAAGGCATCGATGCTAGTTTTCAAGGCTTAGAAAGAACTAGGGCACACTTTGGCACCCATTTTAGGGTTTACAGCCCAAGAACACCTTGGACCGTAAACACCTTGTTCTTGGTGTTTCTTGGGTGATTTTTTGATATATGGAAGTATAACAAGCCTTAATGTACTCTAGTATAGAATTACTTATGTTTGGGACGAAAGCTTGAAGATCCTTGGGAGAGAAATGGGGTTTTCTCTAGCTTGAAATGGAAAAAATGAAGGAAAATGACTAAGTGCCATATCTATAGTCCATGGAATTTACGGCTCTAGAGAGTTTACGGCCATAAACTCCATGTTTATGGTCGTAAATTCTATTTTATGGACTTTATGGCATGATTTTGGTATTAGGGCTTTAGTGGTTGCTTTCTAAAACTTATTTCCTTAAGTGTACTAGGCATTAGAATATTCAAACAGGCCTTAAATTGTGTTAAATGGTAGCAGAAATGCATTTGACTTTCAATGAAGTGTTAGACTGTAGAAATTATACATACGAAAAATTCGGGTTGTCACAGTTTATGAGAGAGATTTATTGGTGAGATGCCAGTTGGAGTTGGAAGACTCAGGGAGAATTAGAGATAAGGCTTCATGGAGGATTACGGCCTGAGTTGAGCAATCGGGCGATAGATGATATGTTGTTTTTGTGACAAGAGTTGCGCTATTCCTATTTCTTAGGAGAAGCAAAAGAGATATCGAGCTTCCGGTTTTGAGACTTTGAGGTAAACCCGTGGGGTAGCATATGGTTGCAACCATTTCTCCAGAGTATTGGGTCGTATGTCTGTTGTGAGGTATTTCTTATACCATGAGAGAGTCGTTAGTGGGGACTGAGATGGACGAGGACAGGGAGATGCGTTAGCTGAGTAAGGCATACTTTTAGCAGCAGTTCCAGGAGATTAAGAGGAGTACCCCAGGGAGGCGACCCTCATTTCCTACGTGATGTATCAACTAAGAGTGATGTCTCTTGTTTCTATGATGATCTACGCGATGGAATGCTGGTTACGAGGTGTGTGATATTCTATATTTCTAGAATGAGAGCCGTGACTAATTCAGGATAGTTGGGATATCCGACGGTGTGTCGGTATGAGACTTCGGGATGACTAAAGACAGTTATGTTGGGAGGATTCCGAGGATTTTAACTGATATTTGGGATATCGGGAGTTGCTTTGTCTCTATCGGGAATATCATCGAGTGTTACAAAGTACTTTCCAAGGGCCAAGTGAGATGTACATAGTGAAACAGTCTGTGGAGTAGACTGTTGGTATGCCAAGTGGTGATGGTTCAAACACTGAGTGGGGGTGAACTAGGTATCTTATTGAGAGGATCATAGATTTGTTCAAGTGTGGTTAGAGAACTTGTTATGAAGATCTGCGGTACGGACACATGAGACTTGGGTTATAGGTGGATAAAAGGTGCAGCGCGAGATAATGCATGTTGTATGTGTTCAGAAGAAGATGAGGTTTCAGATTGTCGCCAAGGTGTTCTCAGTCATTGGCAATTCCTCCATCCTTCAAAGTGCGAATTAAGGTATTTCCAGATTATGAGATGTGCAAGAAGGAGATCAATGGTCATAATAAGACATCGTGATATTTGGGATGGTGTATCGAGATATCCAAGTATGATACACTAAAATTTTGGATTATTTTGAGACTTGAGTTGTGAGATGGCAAGTGGAGTACCAAGTGACTATTGCTCCAGTGGAAGCCCTTCATCTAATTATCATCGAACGGCATTATCCAAAAATGTGAATTATAACAAGAGAAAGTGTTTTATCATGAAGATTATCGTCAGGAGCAGTGATGCTTCACCTAGGTGTGTGTACCTATCTATGTTGGACATTCGATAGTGAACTCAGTGTGGTGATGACTTAAGGATGTAAATATGGGGCAATAAGAGAGTGGATAGATCTGGGTCGGAGTAATCACTTAGGACTGTCAAGGGATACCTGTAGGAAGAGATCCCATGGAGAGAGAGAGAGAGAGAGAGAGAGAGAGAGTATCTTAAGACTTTCGAGATCCGTAGCATACTTGATTCAGAGAGAGTTTATCGTGTAAGTGTGGAGAGCTGTAGAAATTGTGAGTCAGAGAGAGAATACCATAAGATTGCGGAGAGCCATAGTATACATGAGTCAGAGAGAGGGTATCGTGTGACTGCGGAGATCCGTAGCATACGTGAGTTAGACAGAGACAATATCGTGTGGCTATAGAGATTTGTAGCATACATTAGTCAGAGAAAGGGCATCGTGTGACTATCGAGAGACGTAGCATACGTGAACCAGATTAAGGGTATTGTGTGACTACGGAGAGTTGTAGCATACGTGAGTCAAGGAGAGAGTATCAGGTGACTAGAGAGAGCTGTAGTATACATGATTCAGAGGGAGAGTATCGTAAGACTGGGGGGCGTAGCATTTGTGAGTTAGAGAGAGAGAGAGAGAGAAAGAGAAAGAGAGTATTGTGAGACTGCATGGAGCCGTAGCATTCATGAGCTATCGAGAGAGAAAGAAAGAATATCACAACATTGTAGGGGTGGGTGTAATATTCACGAGGCAATGAGAGGGTGTCATAGAACTACATGGAGTCGTAGCACTTGTTAGTCAATGAGAGAGAGTGTTGTCTAACTACAGGGACCGCAGCCTTACTAGTTAGTGTGTGATGCAGAGCGGCTCGTAGGCCTGTGTAGCCTTACCAAAGGAGGCTGTGAGAACTTGGTGACCTAACCAAGGTCAAGACTGGGGTCTCGGTAGTGGTCGAAAACCATTTTTTTTTTTGAGTTAAATAGGGGTTGTCACGAATTGGACGGATCGAGGGTAATACATACGTATAATCGTGGAACATGCGTTTTGAGTTGGGTGCTATATTGGGACAAGTGGTTCCAATTTTGTGTGGGATGAGACTCTGGTGTGCGATTTTGGCTCTATCTATGTGGAGGACAAGTAGGTTGGGATTTCGGGTGAATCTCATTCTGAGAGGGATGTGTTTCCTTATGATGTTTTAGACTTGCGTAGGCTAGTACGTTGGTTTAGGAAGGACCAAGAGAATCACAGAACTAGTGAGTAGTAGACGAAAAAGTTCGGAGGTGAGGCAACTTCAGAAGGTCATTGTATTGTTCACTTGAGGTATAACGAACTTCATGACTTCGCATGTCACATCAAGGGTTGAGATAACTATTGCGAAAGGAAGTTATAATGTTAACTTGTAGGGTGGGAAATGAGTAGCCCTTCGAGGTCCAACTGTTGGGTTGGGAGTTTACCTGATATTAAGGTGTTTCCCGCCCTTAGGGTTCTTGATTTGAACTCTGTTGACTTACTGGAAGACGACGATTTGGTCAAACATTTTCTAGAAAGCTGCCTATCGCTTGAGGATTTGAGTTTGGATTACTGCATCATAAACAAACTTAATCTATTTTCTATTTCATGTCCGAAGCTGAAGAAGCTAACTATATATAACGGGGACGAAGATTTGGGCATGTGTGGTGGCATTAAGGTTTCCTGCCCACTACTAGTGCATATGGATATAACAGGTTATATAGCTATTGATTTTTTCTTTGAAAGTCTAGACTCCTTGAAGGAAGCTGTGATTGACCCTAAATTCGAGGAAAACACAAACACCAAATCTGTGTTGTTTCCTGGAATTTCACATGTGGAATCATTGCAAATTGATTTTTACTTCTTCAGTCAGGTACTTGCTTATTCTCTTTATGCACAATTCTTCATTTGAGTACCTACATATCTATAACCTATTTGTTACCATGAATAATAACTTCAAAGTTCAAACCCTTTCTTGCTTTCATTATCATAGTGTATAAATGCTGCATGTGATTGTGATCCTTCTCTACCTAATCTGAAGACTTTGGTGCTAACCACAACAATTGATGCGTTCACTTTTGATAAATTCCTTCGAATTCTCAATTATTATCCGAAAGTGGAGTCTCTCGAGTTGGTCATCAAACAGGTATTGTTTTTATGTATCGGATTTCGAAATTTGAAATTCATGAAATTGGCAGAGGCAGAAATTTTGGCATGTCCAATTATTTATAAATTTAAAAAAATGCTTTTGTTTGATATGATGTAGCAATTTTATGGACGGGAAGAGTGGGAACTGCATGAAGATGACAAAAGGAGAATCATGACTCCTGATTTGGAAAGTGTCGAGTTTTTTGAATTCAAGGGGGAAAAACCGAAACTAGTTTTAGTCTGGCTTGAAATTACATGTTTGGAAATGTTTTTTAGTTGGGATTAGAAAGTTACTTTTTTTTATTAGACTGATTTTTCTTATGATGAACTGATTTTACAAGCTTTATGTATGCATGTATGTGTATGACGTGTATATATATATATATATATAGAATAGGTATGTGTGTATGACAAACATGAACTCACATTGTTTGCCTGTGTAAAGAAACAATTGTAATTTGTCAAGAGCAATGGTCGTTGGGGAGACTCAGTCACATGAGAAATTCGAGAGTATTCATCCATAAAATCTAATTTCAATTGAAGATGGGGTTAGTAAACATATAAGTTTCACTTGAATGGGTTTATTATCCGATTACATTGATTTTGAAGGATAGAAAAAATAAATTAGGTGACCATGTAATTTGTAAGCTCCGAGATTATAAGGTTGGGGTATAGAGTGAGTGAGGTCATGTATTTTAATTGAAAAATGATTTTTTAAGAGTCAATGGTGAACTTATGGAAAATCCATAGTAAGATGCTAGTTTGAAGAAAAAAGTTTTTTTTAATAGTCTGTTGTAATCAAGAGCCACTTAGGGTTCACCTTTGGGAATTTTTATACAAGTCAAAGTATGTTGTTATATTTGATAAAAAAAAGTGCACTAGAAAGGGAAATTTGTGAAATAAAATTAATGGAAGGGTATTGTAGTCATTTTAATAAGTGATTAAGGGAAATGAGTTCTTTTGAATTGTGGCCATCATATGATAGACCTTTAACACAAGGGATGTTTGGTAAATCACATAATCGTTTGGAAGGTGCACTGAATGGCTCCCACCTCTTATTGGTTAAAAAATATAAGATTGCTTAATGGTTCAGAGATGGTTCCAAGCCTTTTGGTTTCTTCATAGGTTGTCCAGCGTCCAGATGCCAAACCAAACGTATTGAATGATGACCTCTAAACGTTCTATTCAGAAGTTACCCAAAAGCTCTTCCTTTTCACAACCTTTTGAGGGTTTTGTTGATGTGCCCTTTTAGCATATTTGTGGTTTAGGTCTTGGCTTGAATTCCGTAAGAGCCAAAGACTATTGCTTTAAACACTAATATCTATGTATTCGCATATGTTAATAAATATAATCCCCACAAGAGCATGCATACTAATCAACTCTCGAATAGGTTTGTACAAGATTAAGTAGTTTTAAATTAATAAAATAATTTGAGATAAATGGAAAAATTAAGGAGTGTTTTGTCATCAATATGTCATATTTTCCCGACACAATTTTAAATATAATATTTAACTTTTTTTTTTTTTTTTTTTTTTTTTTTTTTTTTTTTTTTTTAACTTTCAGAATATAAGATTGCCAAAATTCTTATTTTTAACATTTGTATAATCATCTTAAATCCTTAATTTTATTAATTGAGCATTATACATGTCTTATAAATCTAAGTTTAAAATATCTAAAATCGATTTCCTAAACCCTCATTGTTGGTCTTCCTTAATCCATGTCGTCTCTTCTCCGAATCGACATCTTGTTCAACAATTCTCCCGCCATCCCCTTCTCTATCACATCTATTCTCTTTCACATAGCACATAGCGATTAGAGCTTCCATACCGCTTCATAGGTTATGATCCTCTCTTTTTCGGGTAATGGTTCACAATTTCTAGTTGATCTCTAACATTGTCCTCGTGATATCGATTTGGAATATGTTAATATGTTTGGTGAAAATTACTTGGTTTAGGATTTATAAAAATTCTTGACTGAATGGTCTCGTGAACAATGGCGAGTCTAGAATCGAAACATACATGGTTCACTAAGATTGGTTTAAGAAAAAATCGGGTTCAACTAGAAAAGTAACCGATTCAATATATATAAAAACTGATGGTGAGAGGTCTTTGTAACATCCGGATTTTCAGGTACATTATTTATTCATTAATTTTTTGGAGATTTTCAGAGGGACTCGGCGAGTTGATGGTTACACTCGCCGATTAGTGTCGCGATTTTCCATCCGGGTTAATGACCGGACTCGGCAAGTCGAGTAGTGGACTCGATGAGTCCACGCTGTTTAATGAAACCCTAATTTCCGGGGTTTGAGACCTATTTAAAGGCCCTTATGGCCTTCATTTGCGGCTACCAGTTGATAGAGAGAGACCCCAGAGTGTGTGAGTGTTTTGAGAGAGAAAGGAAGCCATTTTTTATCCTTGTGTGGGTGATTTTGCAAGAAGAAGGTGACCAAGGCAAGAGGAAACTGAAGAGGGTGCTAATCTATGGATTTCAGAGCTTAGGGACTTCATCTTGAGGTATATATTCAATCCCCTATTAGTTTTGGTGTATGTTTTGAGAGTTAGGGTTTCTAGCCCCTTTTTGAGTAAGATTTGTGAAGCAATTGGTCCCTTCTTGTGTTGAGGCTTCGAATCTGGATCCAAAGAGGTCCAGAGACCTTAACTTCTTGATCTTTATGGGTGTCATGGAGAGTTATGAGCTTAGGGTGGCATATTGAGGCCATTTCTCCAAATAGAGCCATTGGGTCGTTGCATGAGCATCAAGATCCAAACTTTACGTGTTTATATTGCTTAAGGAGGCCAGATCTATGAATTAGAGGAACGGATCTGACCTCTGGAGCTTATTTGAGCTCGAGCATGGCATGAACTCGTCGAGTACCAAGAGCAGACTCGGCGAGTAGGGTTAGGGTTTCCCCATAGTTCACTTAGTGAGTACTTGCCGAGTTGGGTGAATGACTCAGTGAGTCAGAAGGAGTTAGAGGACTGGAATTCAAGGCGGAACTCATCGAGTTCAAAATGGGACTCGGTGAGTTGAGTTGGGGTGGCCCCGTGACTCATGCTAGGTGGGACCCGTTGAGCAGGGGAAAGACTCGACGTGTCATGCAGGACCAGAGGGATAGTGGACAAGCGTAGACTCGTCGAGTCACCTAAGTGCACTCGACGAGTCGGGTTAGAGTCTGACCGTTGACTCTGTTGACTTTGAGGATTGGTCAACAATGGAGTCTTCGTGTCAAGAGAAGGTTGAGTCTAGTTTCTAGAGTTATATTTATGAGAGTATTTTACTTTATGTAATTAGGCGGAGACTAGACCGTATTGCTACAGAGTCAGAGATTTACCGAGACATCTAAGGTGAGTCTTCTCATTATACTTTACCTTGAGTGGTAAATAGGGTTATGTGACAGAGTATCTTGTATGCTATGTTTGTGATGTGTTACACTGCATCATTTCTATGTGATTTATGTTGTGTGTATTCCAGAGTTCACAGAGTTAAGACCAGAGGGTCCACAGAGTTAGGGCTAGTGGGCCCATAGAGTTATAGCCTCGAGTGGCTAACATGTGTTATATGTGGTATTTTGGGGAACTCACTAAGCTTTATGCTTACAGTGTCATGTGTTATGTGCTTGAGGTAGCAGTGATGATCGCGGGAAGGCGCCGGCATGATTCGTACACACACATGGGATTTATGTATTTTGATCTTAGGAATTGTTTTTGTGAAACAAAGATATGATACAATGAGATTTTTTAATAAATGTGTCTGGAAAATGTGTTTTGATTTTTTTTTTAATTTTTACGGTGTTACAAGTTGGTATCAGAGCCTTGGTTTGAGGGATTCGGATGCATCTTCGGGCGTGTCTGAACTTAAACCGAGGATTTGAGAAAAGTTTTATTAGAAAAACAAGTTTTAAAAAGTAAAAGGAGTTTTGAGACAAACAGAGCGGAACCGTGTGTATAATCAGCCAGCCCCCGAATGGTGATTACCTAAAATACCCTTGTAATAAGTGTTACGCGATATATTATGTTATGTTATATGATGAGCTATATTATGCATGCTAGAGTAGACTAGGTATCCTTATTAGGACTAGAGTGGCCTGATATATGATGCCTTAGTCTAGGAGTTTTGCTGCTAAGGATGCTTGAGAGTGTTTAGATAGCAGCGAGGAGCTTATGAGAGATCAGCTAGTGAGTAGCATATGATTTAAGAGAGTAGAGTGCTTGGAATTTGGGACTCTGGGAGGAGGACTTGGGATGAATGCTGAGGCGGTGTGGTCGGTAGTATTGGGCCCGTACTACCGAAGGCACCGGGTCAGTGCGCAACCCAAGTAAGAATCCTTAGGGTACCAGAGTCCAAGTAGGATTGGGATATTGAGTGTGTGTACACCCGAGCGAGTCTCTGATATCCTGTGTTGTATTTCAGAGAGGCATCATGGTAGGGACGCGCCACAGACCAGGGACTAGTGCAGGGGGTGTGAGCGACGAGGAGCGCTGCCAGATGATTCATGATAAGGTGGCTGCTGCCATCCGCACTGAGATTCCAGAGATGTTCGGGTCTATCAAGACCACCCTGATAAAGACATTTGATGGGAGATACACTGCTCTTTCAGATGCTGTTGTTGATGTGGCCACTGCAGCTGTAGTTGCGGCTAGACTGCAGGGTGGTGATGCGTTGCTGTTCTGGGAGTTCAGCAACCCAAAACCACCGGAGTTTGTTAGGACCCAGGACCCGATTGCAGCGATGAGGTGGATTTCAGACATCGAGGGTTGTTTCTTCACCTGCTCATCTCCAGAGCATTTGAGAGTCTGGTTCGCATTGAACCAGCTTTGCTTGGGAGCGAAGGACTGGTGGAAGTTTGTGACGGTGCATTATTCGCCTGTTGAGCTTGCTGCAGTGACTTGGGAGAGGTTCATTGTTATGTTCCAAGATGAGTACGTTCCCCAGGTGGAGAGGGAGCGTTTGGCCCAGGAGTTTCTAACCCTCAAGCAGGGTATTGAGTATGTCACAGTGATTATGAGGATGTTCCATGAGCGGGCGATGTTCTGCCCAGAGCACGTGTCCTCTGAGCAGGCACGTATGAGACGATATCTGATCTTTTTGAGGAGGGATATACGGGAGTTCATGGTGAACTCGATGTACCACACATTTTCTAAGCTTTAGGAAAATGCCCGGAAGAGGGAGATAGAGCTGGAGACCCAGGCTAGGGAGGAGGCTGATTCTCAGGGGAGGGATCGGCGACTGGCGCAGTCTTAACCGGCAGCCAAGTGGGCCAAGCCTGCTGATTCGAGATCTGGGAGT